GCGGGCCTGCTGCTGCTGCTAGCCAGGGCCTGCTGCAGGGGGAGCACTGGGTGCAACAGGAAAGTGGGCCGAGGGGGTCGCAGCTGGCATGCGTGTCGGAGGCATGTGCTGGCTGACACTGAGGCGCATCCCCCGCTCAGAGCAGCTGGGAAGAATGACGTATTCAGGAATCGTTCCCCTGTTCTCACACGCCCGGGATCAGGTATCGGTGGCAGAATTCCCCGCACGGTTAGCCTGGCTGGTGGCCAGCACGCTCCGGGTTCGGACACAACACCGGAAGCCCAAACACCTGAGACCTCTGCGCACATTGGACAGGCCCCCACCCGGAGCAGAGCGCACCCTCTGCGCCACGCAGCAGCACGCACCGTTCATCGCTGCTCCCTGCAGACCGCACTCAGCCCGGGGCAGCAGCTAGCACACTGGGAGCAGCCCTACCTGTCCTGGCTCCCTCGAGGCCTGTGCTCCATGGAGAGCTGCTCTCAGCTCCCTCCACCCCCGCTCGGGACACACATGGTGCTGACTCCTGTGCTGTGGCCTGTGACAGGGGTGAGAAGCCCAGCCAGCAAGCCAGCAGGCTGGAGAAGGGAAGACAGGGCCGAGCCACATGCTCATTCCCTGCCCTCCCACCTGGCGTCAGGCCCCAACACGCCACCTGTCTCCAGCCAGCCAGAGAGGGGCTGACCTGCCTCCTGCAGGTTTAAACTGCAGCCACAGACTCCATGGAGACGCACTCAACATGCAACGGTGCACGGCCCCGGGGAAAGCGAGGGGGAGGCGGCAGCCTGAGAGCCCCCATTCAGCTCACCCCCGGCCAGGGGTCCTGCAGCTTTGGAGACAGGTAGGCCAGGGGTTATCTGCTACCAAATGCGGTAACTGTTGGCAAACACTCTGTAGCATTAATGAAACGTTGCAACCGGTTCTCTGGCGTTGTCGCGCGCAAAACCCCTTCAAGCCAAGAAACCTCGCCAGCCGGGGAGCGCGAGCCAGACCCCGTGACGTGCAGCGCCTCTCCCGCCCCACCGCAGCCTTTGAAGAGAGGACGCTGACATCACTGGGAACGTGTCTGTAGCTGTGCGCGCTTCCCGGGGAACGTTCTGTTTCCCTGCGCGCTGCTCCGGCTTGCCACGAGAGGCCAGCGCTCCGAAGGGCTCCCCGCTCCGATCTCTAGCGACTCTTTGCTCACTGGCAGACCCACATCTACCCGGTCCCCCCTCCCGCACACACAAAGCTGTGACTCTCTCTCAGCCAGTGAGTGACTTCCAGTCCCCAGACACAAAAACCTGCCAAGTCAGGCTGTGCACCGTCAGTCATAACAGCTGAGCATCAACCCTGCCCAGAGGCCAGGTCTACCCTAGGGGATGAAGTCAAACTAAGACATGCCACTCCGGCTATGTGACTAGCATTGCTGGAGTCAACGCACCCCCAGCGTCCCCACTGCGGCAGGTCGACGGGAAAAACTCCCCCATTGACTTCCCTTACTCCTTGCGACCCGGTGGAGTCCCAGAGTCAACAGGGGCGAGGTCAGCAGTTGATCTTTACTAGAGCCACGAAATCGAACCCCAGGAGATCAGTCTCCCCAGCGTCGACCTCCCGTGGAGGCAAAGCCTGGCAAGTTCCCCCCGTCACTGGCTCCCTGCTGCCTACGACCAAGCTATTGTGGAGATGACCATACCACTGAAATCAGACACGTTCAGCCACGCTTATTGGGGTCTCCGGCCAGGGCTCCGCCTCTAGCTTTTGCCAGCATAGCTACATGCACAGGCGCGGACTCCTCCGGTGCTCCAGGACGACAGGAAAAAATTAGTGGGTGCTTAGCCCCCATCAACAGCCAGCTCCCCCACGAGCACCTCCCTCCTGCCCACCCCGTGTCCCACCAATCAAATCCACCCCTCCCGCCCAGCGCCTACTGATTGCCACCATCAGCTGTTTCAGGGCAGCGCATGAGGCACAGGGAGGGGGACGAGCAAGGAGAGGGCGTGCTCGGAGGAGGGGGCAGAACTGGGTGGGAAGAGGTGGGGCAGGAGCCTGGGAGAAGGGATGGGGGGTGGAGTAGGGAGTTGAGCACCCATGGCTACATCAGTCAGGGTGTGATGAGCTGTGCTGTGTTGGCAAACACCCCAGCATAGATGCTATTAGACTGGTTAAACGGGACTTCTCCTGCTGGAATAAGCTCTAGGGGAGAGCACGGCTGCAAACGCTGGGTGTGCGGATTTGGTCTAACACGAAACATTTTGAAAGGCAAATCTCCCCTCCCCCCCATCTGAATTCTGCAACGCGTCACTAAAACAAACAGGCACACTTGTGCCAGGGCTGCAAACGCTCTGGGCTACTGACCAGCTAGATTCATACACTACAGCAGACTGTCAATAGCGTCTTCAAGACCCCAATCCCGCTCAAATAGAGAGTCTTTAGAGAAAGCCACAGAGTAGTTACACGCCGGCATGCGACTGAAAGGGGGCCCCAAGAGTCATCCGGGCTGTCACTGCTCCTGATGAAACAGCGCAGCCTTCGGGTGATGTCTGAGCCCCTATATTCGTGTCTAATGTTTATTCCCCACCAAAACATGACGACTCCTGTCCACAAGCGTCCCTGAGAAACGCCCGAGGAGGATAGAGCTCTCACTGCTTCGGTGCTGTCTCGCCGGCATCCACACTAGCGCTTTTCTGGTTGGGAGACCTGCCTCCCTTCTAGGGAGCAGCCCTTCAGTGAACAGATCACAGAACATTTCTGCCTATGGGCTGTGTCTACACTGGGCCACTTGTTCCAGAAAATCAGCCGCTTTTCTGGAATAAGCTGTGAGCTTGCACCTGACCTGCCCGAACGTCCAGCCGACAGAGCGGTGCTGCCCAGGAGACCAACTCTGGCCGGTGCTGGGTTGCAAATCGCTTTGGTACCGAATGGTCAACTGGGCATTAGCTCTGTCCTCAACAGGGCGCCCCCTTCTGGCCAGTGCTCCTCCTGCTCGCAGTCCAGACCTGCATTGCTCCCAGGCACACGGTGCCCTCTTCAGGACACTGCCCTCACACAGGGCCCACTCCTCGGTTTCTCACCCCCCTCCAAGGCCAACTGCAGCCCCAGACTAGCCCCTCCCCTCAGGGGCAAGCCACAGTCCATAAGGGCCACTCCTCAGCGTGGCTAGGGGCTGTGCAAGGAGGAAGGGGGGAGGGGTATCCAGGCCCACGCACTTCTCTGGGACCCTCTGGCAGCAGCTTTGTCCTGCTTTCCTTCACTTTCCCTTCCCTGCCTCCTGCTCCCTGGGCCACTTCCCCAGCGACCCTCACACCCTCCTGGCCTTTGCATGAAGGCTTGTCGGGTGCCAGGCTAGAGCCTCCCTCTCTCTAGGTCCCCTGAACCTGCCCAGCACTGCTCTCTCTAAGGTGCTCTCTCGGGACTGGTCCTGCATCTTCTCGGTCAGGACTCAACTGCCCTCGGCTCTGCTGAGCAGCTCCTTATATACGGGGGTACCCCAACAAGCTGCATTCTCATTGGCTCCCTCTAAGCCCCTCTCTGATTGGCCAGGGCTCTCTGTTGGCTCCCTCCAGAACTAGAGAGACATGGCAGAGATGTCACTGTTGTCTGGCTTCCAAGCGGCAGACACAGAGCATTGGGCTGAACCCGTGGAGCTTCCCAGGCCTCAGCCGGTCAAAGGCCCAAGTATGAGCTCTCTAGGCCAGCCTGACGTCTGGGAACCTGGCAGGGATAATGTCGCAGAGAGCTCTGTATTTCTCCTGGGCCCAGCCCAGCCGGCCTCCTACCCAACCCCATCACAGCACAATGAGGCTGTGGGCTCAGGTCTTGGCAGCTAGCACCCAAATCCAATCCGTTCCTCCAGCCCTGCCCCCCACATACACACACCAGTATCTAGCACTCAGATCCCTTCCAGCTGCCAAAGCCTCCTTTTCGTCCCCTGTCCCCTAACAACGAGAGCACCTCCAACCCATGTGCCAGACTCTCCCCGCCTGAAGGGATAACAAAGGCTGGTGAGCCCCACACATCTGACCTCACTCCTGGTCCTGAGACACCCAAGGACGTTTCTCCTACCTAAAAATGCTTTTACCAGATACAAGGTGCAGGTAGCCCAGATCTCTGTCTTTGGAGCCAACACTCACAGGGGTGCAGGCAAACGTCACTTCCCAGAAACCCCCAGCTAACTGAGAAACAGGCACATGCCACAAGTGACACAGAACTCGCACCATCACATCTAATGGCACGTGGAAAAAAATAGTGCCCTACTAGTGCACAGCCTTGCACGCCCTGCCCAGATCACTGTGAACATGCCTACCATGCATACAGTCGTTGCGTGACATTCTGCAGTACCAAGAAACTGACAGCCGCCTGTACTTGACTCCCTCACAGCTTACCCGTCTATTACAGCTACTTCTGCCGAGCTGGCTGATCTTCGGTAACTACATGCGATTTCATATTCAGCTCATTTGATTCCAATCGTTCAGTGATACACAAAGAGGTAAATATATTAATGGTTGTGCGTGAGTAGCAGAGGCAGTACCAGCAACAGTAAAACTGAGCTGCCTTTGAGTAACCGACTCAGGAAGTTTACTGTAGGTGAATTAGGCTCATGAGTTCAAGGATGGATTCAAAGTCCACATAAACTGAATATCTCATTGCACCGATTCATTTATTTCAGGAAGAGGGAAAAGGAACCATGGTGGTTTATTGAGAGATTTTTGTTTCACATATAATCTGATTAGTTCCATTCTAATAATTGGATTAGTTCTGTATCTTAAACGAATCAGACTGGTTTTTACAAAACAGGATGGTTTTCACTATTCAGGATGGTTTTCAGTCATTCTTCCTTTACTTTTTCCATCATCTCTAGGTGCATTTACATTAAAAATAATTACAATTCTAGGCCCTTCCAAGCCAATGTATACACCTAGTATTAAAACACCACAAATACATTTAGGCAAACATGAAATGTGCAGAGCAGCATATCTTCATCAGTGGGGTCAGAGATGCTGCCTCATCCAGACAATGTTAAGAAGCTATCTACACACAAACTTAGCAGCATGTCATTACATACATCACACACTCAAGTCAGACACAAACAGGCAGAAGCAGTGACTGTCACACCATTGTAAACGATACAAAGTCAGACGTGCTTCGGTGGTCCAGGAAATCAGCGTCAATACACACCTTGTGCCCTTGCATACAAATAGAATACAATGTAGCAAAACACACTATAGCAAAACACACTATAATGGCAAAGTGTCGCACCGTTATGCAGTCACACACACATAAATAGTGGCACTGTCAAAGTACCGGTTACAATCACCCGTTTAAACAGGTATAGATATTCCACCAACACCATCATGCAAAGTATCTTGCAACACATAAAATTACTGGCTAGGTCGTGTCACAACAGGTAACTGCACAGACGTTCCTGTGCAAACAATGGGTGTGCAGATTCGGTCCAACAAAACATTCTGAAAAGCAAATCTCCCCCGCCCCCTTCTGAATTCTGCAGTGCGTTACTAAAACAAACAGGCACACTTCTTCCGGGGCTGGCATTGCCTTTGCTGCAAACACTTTGGGCTACTGAAGCGCTAGATTCATACACTACAGCAGACTGTCATTAGCATGTTCAAGACCCAAAACCCTCTCAAATAGAGTCTTTAGAGAAAGCAACAGAGTAGTTACACGCCTGCATGTGACTTAAAGGGGTCCCAGAGTAATCCAAGCTATCACTGCTCCTGATGAAGCAAGGCAGTGTTGGGGTGATATTTGAGCCCCCATAATAGTATCTAATGTTTACTCCCCACCAAAACATGACGACTCCCATCCACAAGCGTCCCTGAGAAATCCCCGGGGAGGAGGAGCGAGATTGCACCGCTTCGGTGCTATCTCACCTGCAGGCTCTGTAGCACTTAAGGTCATTTGAGGCCCCCTTCACCAGTGCAGATTTGGGGGGTTTGTAAGTGGAATTCGTTTCCTAAGGAAAGCAGGAAGATTAAATCGTGAGAGTCTCACCTTCTCTTTGGTTGGTACCGATGGCTGCAGGCAGGAGGAGACACACACTGAAACAGCTCAGGGTTAGCAGCCAAAGCAAAGTCATTTTGGGGACCCCCGGCTGTCCCCACTGGCGCAGGACGACACGACACAGCAGATCAGAAGGCGGGAGGCCTGCAGGGAGCTTGCCGCTGGCTTTGCAGTGTGCTTCGCTGCTTTCTCTTCCCCAGTGATTTTATCAGCTCCTTTACCTGAGACACTCCCGATAGGAATGCCTCAGTCTGACTCACCTCCCCTGGTGAATAAGGGGACAGCCCAGCCCATAGGAAGCAGACGCACACAAATCCCGCTCTTGGGGTTGTCCTATACCAACCAAAACAATAGCCTGCGCCCAGACAGGAGGGAGATCTGGAGGACACATCAGCAGCATGATCCTCCTCCCATCACTGCCCACTGGGCCCCCCCTCCAAATAGAAGAAAAGCTGCTGCAGATCTTTCACTGTACCCCAGCCTGCCGCAGAAATCGAGGGGCCCTGTCTCCATCACCGTCCCTTCTTCAGGCTGCTCTTCATGAGCTGATCACTACCGCCTGTCTCACAGTGGTGTCTGTCAGGGCCAGGATCCCTTGGCGCCAGGTGCTGCACGGACTCTTTGGGAGAGACCGTCCCAGAGCCGAAGAGAGGGCAGGAGAAGCAGATGAAGCACCCCAAGTCCAGTGCGCTATGCACTACAAGTGGTTCCCAAACAAGTGGTTGCCCCCTTTTTGAAAGACCCTCACGCGCCCCACCCTCCCCAGCAGCAAAACTTGTTGAGCATAAAAAAAAAAAAAACAACTGGGGGAGCAAA